AGAGCACTACAAATTGCTGTGACACAGTTATAATTTGATTTTCCCTCTTGACCTTCAAAGCCTAAAAATTTATGATCTGGCCTTTTATAGGGAGAGTTTGCAACTCTTGCCCTAAACTATAAACTTTAGTGTATAAGATTGGAATTTTCTTTCTATTTCAAGGTACCCAAATTTACTCAGTAATTGCCTTTCATGGTTCTACTTTCCCCTGGCATTTCTTTGGTCTTATATGGATTGGGGTTAAAAACAAGTCTATTATTCTTTATATTTAATCACCAAAATTTGTCTTTTTCATCTCTGTGCCTTAAATGAAACATATTCATGTAAAGATTTTAGAATTTCATTTCCAAAGACATTCAGGTAAATATTGCAGTTTTGTAAGAAATAGTAATACTTTACTCTTTATGCCAAAAATCTATGTGCTTATAGAGATAAGCATGTACTGTATTAATATGCAAGTTATGTATCAGTCAGTTAATCAGCAAAGATTTGTTTGACAGGTATAGGTGAATGATATAGGGGAAGTGGCTTGAAATGAGGTTTTGAAGGATGCCTCTGAATTTAAGGTAGATAAGGCTGGGGCTAAGGTAATATCAAGGCAAAGAGAACAAGATTTGTAATGCTACTAAGCTGTCAATAGGATCACATAGTTGGGAAATGAAAGAAATTCAGTGGCTGGAACACAATTTGGAGAAAAGTGGCTGGAGTTGAGTCAATAAAGACCTGCTGGCCCAGGCTGAGAAGGCTGTTTTATATGCCACACAAAGCAGTTTTCATCTGATAGGCAGTGAGGATCCATTTTAGATTTTTATACTGTAGAGCCAATGTGATTGGATCAGTATTTTAGAATACAGACAGCACTCCCTAAATTTTTTTAATGCTATGAATATACCCCCGCATGTCCTATTTATAACAAAATTTTCCTTGAGGGAGGATATATAGACAATCCCCTAATTATCCTAGGAACTTATATGGTATGTAAACTTTTGTGAGCAAGCTGTTAAATAAACTGAAATAATTTCAAGATTTCAGAAGATTAAGAAGTTACCTATAAAGTAAAAGAATAATCTGTCTAGCCTCTCCTGGGTACACAGAACTACTTTAAGACCAAACATAATATACGTGTTTGCATACTGCACCAGTTTTATATATGGCTTATAAAAACTTTATAAAAACTTGAGATAGACATTTAGTTATGGACCCCTTGAACACATTCAGATTTTCTTTTCTTAGATATTTAAAAAACAATGTTTAATGTTTAGCATTTTTTCAAATAAAATTAGTGTATTTATTTTGAATGCCTGTAAAGAATTTGACTAAAACTATATCTCACTTTAAACATTGATTTAGATATATAATAAAAATAGTTTTCCAGGTAAAATTGTTTCACATTTATATGGACCTTTATATTTGCCACATTATTTTCATAAAAATGATCTCATTTCATTCTTACAATAATCTCTGTGATATATATAAAAGAATTCTTTACTCCATTTTATAGATTTGAAGTCTATATCTCAGATGGATGATCTGAACATACTCTTCCCTGGAGAGGAAAGGGAGTAGGCTCTGTGATCAGATAGAATTGCATTCAGATCTCTGCCCTTTTCTTTGTTAACTGTGTGTGCTTGGAAAAGTCACTTAATCATTAGGAAACTCAGTTTTCCCAGTTGGAGTTAATTGTACTTGTCCCACAGGAATGTTACGGAAATTTCTTTCTGATAATACATGGGACATGCAAAGCATAGTAAATGGGAAGTGCTGATATGATTATTGTTGCTAATATTAATCATCATCATTAATAAGGGTCCAATACCTATTATTCACATTTTTTTTAAAAGATTTTATTTATTTACTTGACAGAGAGAGACACAGCTAGAGAGGGAACACAAGCAGGGGAGTGGGAGAGGGAGAAGCAGCTCTGCGGGAAGCCCAATGCAGGGCTCGATCCCAGGACCCTGGGATCATGACCTGAGCCGAAGGCAGACGCTTAACGACTGAGCCACCCAGGTGCCCCTATTCACATTTTCAAAACCCAAAAGTTCTAAAAAAAAAAAGTTCTGCAAAATTTTTCCCCAAGTTTTGCATAAACTCAGTTGAGGTAAAACCATATTTAACATGACATGGGACTATTTATGTAGTGTTTACTTTTCTGGTCAGTGTCAATAGTGATAAGATTTTTCTATGAAATATTAACGTGCTGTCCCTACATTCCTCAAGGATTGTTTTGTAATTACAGTAAATGGGACATATTACCTCTCTGTAATCTAAACACCTTCAAGACACAACTTGCCCAACATTTTAGATAAGGACTATAGATATATATTATTATGATTCTTTTATTTTAATAACTTTATTGAGATGTAATTCACAACCATTAAATTTATTATTTTAAAGTGTACAATTCAGTAGTTTTGTAGCATATTCACAAAGTTGTGCAACCATCACCACTACATAATTTTAGAATATTTTCATAACCTCAAAAGAGAAACCCTGTACCCATTATCAGTCATGCCCCATTTCTTCTGCTCTCACTCCCAGCGTTACATAACTGTTAATCTGTTTTTTGTCTGTATAGATTTTCTCATTCTGGACATTTCATATAAAGAGAACAATAGGAATGATGTATTAATTGGACTTTTGTGTCTGGCTTCTTTCACTTAGCATAATGTTTTCAAGGTTCACCCATGATGTCACATGTATCAATATTTCATTCCTTTTTATGGTGCAATAATATTCCATTGTATGGTTATATCATATTTTATTTGTCTATTCATCATGGATTGTTTCCACTTTTTGGCTATAAGAATAATGCTGCTATGAACATTCATGTACAAGTTTTTATGTAGACATGTGTTTTCATTTCTCTTGGGTAAATACCTAGGAGTGGAATTGCTGGGTCATATGGCTACTCTATGGTTTTGGGAGGAACTGCCATACTGTTTTGAAGAAGGCTGTGCACCATTTTGCTTTTCCACCAGCAGTGTATGAAGATTCTAGTTTCTCTACATCCTCACTAACATGTCTTATCTTATTGTCTGTCTAGTGAAGTGGTATCTCATTGTGGTTTTGATTTGAATTTCCCTAGTTACTAATGAAATTTACCATCTTTTCATGTGTATATTGGCAATTTGTTTTTAGTCTTTGAGGAAATCTCTATTTAAATCCTTTATCTTTCTAAAAATTGGATTATTTGCATTTTTACTGTTGGGTTGTAAGTGTTCTTCATTCTGGGTATAAAATGCATATCAGATATATGACTTGTAAATATTTTCTCCCATTCTGTGGGTTGTCTTTTCACTTTCTTGGTCATGTACTTTGGAGCACAAAAGTTTTTCTTTATTCTGATGAAGTCCAACGTGCCTGTTTTTTCTTTGTTGCTTGTATGTTTGGTGTTATATCTAAGAAACTATTGCCTAACCCAAGGTCATGAAGTTTTACTCCTGTTTTCTTCTAAGCATTTTATAATTTTAGTATTTACCTCTAGGTCTGTGATTTGTTTAAGTTAAATTTTGTGCATGGTAAACAGGACTTTGATGTAGGAAAGATGTTAAGGTTCAGAGCCGATGGCCGAGAAAGAATTCTTGAGACGTCTTTGGTTTTATTAAAGCACAGGGATAGGACCCGTGGGCAGAAATAGCTGCACAGGGGTCATGAGGAGTGGCTGATTATATCCCAACTTTCAAGTTGGGAGGGGGTTAGGGATAGTGTTAAGTCTCTAAGGAATTTTGGAAGCAAGGTTTCTAGGACCTTTAGGGGACTAGCTATTGTTGGGAAAAGGTCATTTATTATTGTCTGTTGGTGGGTCATATGCTTGGGGGATGATTGCCAACGTGTATCTAGGTGGGGGGTGGTGGGTAGAGATAAAGGAAGTTTCCAAAGAAATTTGTATATGTTAAAGTAGACTTACAGGATCTTGGGGGTCAGGCTAAGATTGCCTTTTGCCCTTAGCAAAGTATTAACATAGAGGGAGTTGAGTTCCTAGAGGAATGTCACTGTCTGTTTCAAGGACTTGGCAGTGGGCTGTAGGTAGTAGGGAAATGTAATTTTTCTTTTTGCCTTTGTTTCCCATGTCAGACTTCAATTTTATTCTTTTGCAGCACTATTTTTAAAAGACTATGTTTTCTTATTATCATGCTTGAGCTGGATTATTATCACTATTTAAAAACAGCCTAAAGGTTGCAAGCTATTTTTAATGATATGATTAGAATTAGTGAAACTTGTGTTCTCAAATGCTTGGGGTTAAATTTTGAGTTGGTGTTATTATTAGAGACAGTGGTTTGGAACCATTTAAACTTGATACTCTTATCTATATAAGAGTAATTGCAATATAAAACTAGAGATAAGTTCAGTGCCTGGCACATAATAGGTATTCAGTAAATATTTGCCGAACAAAAATGAATAAATCATATATTATCTGATTGTTTCCTTTGTTACTTTTTAATGGGCATTTAGTTTAGAAAGTAACATATTTAAACAATTATGGTTAAATAAATACAATTATTTTTATAGGTTGATCCTGCATAAATTGCACTAACAGAGAACAAATTCAAATTGGTCTCTTTATATTCATACTCAACTCTAAAATATAGTGAACACATCTCTAACTACTTTTCAGATAATCACTATACAATAAACCATTCGTAAAGTGTGATCTGCAGAAATAATGTTACTATTATTACAGTGGAAAGGGGGTCTTTAATTAAATAAATGTCAGACACATTGGGTCAAGTAAATTTAAATAGGCTTTTCTATTACAGGATTTCTCAGAGCCTTGTTTTTGAAGGTATGCCTTGTGAAGAAGGGGCATGGGCATGATATGCAACATTTTCTGAGTATATTTGACCAGAGAAACTTAATTCAGTTGAATGTATAACAGACTTAGCAAACGAAGAAACACCTCTTGGAAAAAGCTACCGCAGTGATTTTATTTTGTGGGTATTAGGGCACTGGAGGTCATCCATTTATAATGTTTCCATATACTCTACTTTGAATTCCAGTAAGAAAAAGCAACCAAGAGCATTGTTATTGGTATCTGGAATTGAATTTGCCAGGAATGCAAGCGCAGCTTCCTCAGTAAAGATCTTGCCTTTGGAAACATCTTACCCCTTGGCAGCTCTCCAGAGTTCAGACTTGGCAGCTTCAAGGACACAACACAAGGTGTGTTTATTTGATTTAACATTTGGCAAAAGGTGTTTTGACTTGTGGTTTGTTTTCTTTCACTTGTTTTTCTTGTTTTGGTTCGTTTGCTTCTGGCAATGAACTTGAGTTTGGAATGTAGTTCTTTCTTATGGAAGACAGTATTACAATGGGGGAATGATTTTACTTATTATTTTTTTTTTTGTGTGGTATTTGGGCAAATCCAAGTAAATAAAGCAAGATCCATAGAGCTATAAATCTATATCTGATTTATTTTTTAAATCATTTAATATTATTGTCTATTAGGATTTGTTTCTACTTTAAATACTTGATCTCTCTTATGTTTGATACACTATGATACTTTGGTACATTGCTATATCTTGGTAGTTATATTTGGATTATAATCAATGTCTCTATATAGTAAGTAATGAACAGATTAAGATCTTCATAAAATGTCATTCAATGTCATTTTTAATTTTCTTGATTAATTGGTATATCTGCGTTCACCTGTTTTGTGGGAAAAGGAAATGTTATACCATCAAAAATATGGGCCCCCATTATATCTCTGACCTTGTCTTTTGCTGTCCTCTTCTACCTCTTCCTCTGCTCAGAACTTTTCAATGGCTCTCTGTTTCACTCAAGATAAAAGCTAAAGCTCTTAAACTGGCCTATATGTCTCTGCAAGAGATGGTTCCTTGTTACTGCTCTAATCTCATCTCTAATCACTCACTTGCTCAGCCATACTGGCTTCTTTGTTGTTCTCTGAACATGCTGGGCATGTTCCCATCTCAGGGTTTTTATACTATTCTCTCTACTGAATTGCTCTTCCCTAGATATCTGCATAGCCCATTTATTTACTCTCCTTTGGGTCTTTATTAAAAGATCACCGTTTAAATGAGATCTAACCTGGTTACCATCCTAATATCCCTGCTCTATATTTTCTACTTAGCATTTATCACTATATAATAAACTATATATTTTATACTTATTTGTCTTGCTTATTGTCATTATCCTTCACAAGAATATCAGTTCCTATGAGTGCAGGTGTTTTTGTTTGCTCTGGTTTTACTCTGTCTCTAGCAACTAGAGTAGTTCTTGGTCCTTGATGAGTGAATGAATGAATGACCAGTTAATTTAGCAAACATGGTAAGTGTCTCACTTACCATGAGTGAGGCACTATGCTAATTGGTGACCCTACATGTGGTGTCCAAATGGAGTGTCTCTTCATCGGAGAGGGGGCGTTGATTGGGTAGAGGCCGTAGCATAGAAGGTGAAAGAATTCACCTGAGGCAGAACAAAGGAGACAGAAGCTTATTGAATATACTGCAAGGGAGAGGTGGGCAGAACAGCAGAGGAGAGGCTTTCTGCAATGAGGTGTGAGTGGAGGCTGTTTTTAAAGAGGGAAGGTGAGGAGGTATGCCCTCCTATGGAATTCTCTGTTTTGGTATCTGTGCCTAATTGTAAGTAGCCCTTGGTCAGTTAGGGCCTAATGGGTATTTTGAGGTGGGTCTCCTGATGGGCCTTTCTATGTTCCATTGCTCAAGCCTATTTGCCTAAAAGCTGCCTCTGCAGTACAGGGATGAAATACACAGTTCCTGCCCTCAGAAGTACTGTTTGAAGGGAGATGGATGGTTATAGCAGCCATCTTACTACAGTGTTGTGTTGTGATGAGAGTATGAATACAAAGCTATCATCACGTGGAGAAGCAGCATTTGAATCAGACTGTGTTGGGCTCATGGAAGGCTTCCTGAGAAAGGTAACCTTTTTTTTTTTTTTTTTTGATCAGCTGGAATAGTCTAGGTTATGCTGTAGGAACAAACAAGCCCAATTCACAGTGTCTTAACACAACAAATGTTTATTTCTCACAGAGACTACATGTCCAAAATGTGTTGGTAGGGAAGCTCATGTACTTCCATGATCCAGATGCAGCAATGGGAAGAGAGTGGCTAATTATGTACTGGTATTTAGAGTTTTATTGATCAAAACAAATTTCAAAAGGGGGACTGTGAAGTGCAATATCGTCTCTACCCAGAGGGAGAGGAAAATTGGAAGATATGTGAGTAGAATTAATGAATGCTATACCTTTCTACTGTTTTAAAGGAGTATAAGATATCTAGGTAAAGAAGTATTTGAAAGTATTTCAGAGAAAGGAAGAGCATGGGCAAAGGCAGTAAGCTGTTACGTAGTGTGATAATTTCAGGGAACTGTATGTAATTCAGAGTAGTTAGAGCACAGTGTTGGTGTGGGATAAAGATAGGTTAAGGAGATGGGGGGAGAACAGGGGTTAGATTATACCAAACTATGGGATTAGAACTCCATCCTAAAGGACATAGGGAAACACTGAATGATATAATATACTTCAGGGGAATTTCTTGATTAAACTTAATTTATGAAAGATTATTCTAGAAGCAGTATGGGGGATGGTTTTAGGGGAGCAAGACCAGAAACAGTAAGACCAATTATGATACTAATGCAGTAACGCTGGTGAGACTGCAGATGAAGGCAATGACAGAGGAAATGATAAAGGAGTGGAACAAAGGTAAAAAGGCAGGGAAAGTATATACATGGGGGTGGACTCCGGGGCACAGAGGGAGCCTTGGTGGAAGACAGGACACTTCATCCACTGAGATTATAGTAGAGGTAATGGCATGAACAGTGTCCGTACCTTAGCATGTGTGTGTGGATTTATGTGTTTGGTGTGTGTATAAATGTGGATGTTGGTGTGTGAGAGAATGAGTTAGAATAAGCTTGCAAGTGAGCGATTCTTACCTAGTGATCTGTATTTTCTTTGTGACTTGGGAAACCAGCTCATGTGCCTAGAATAAAATGAAGGTGGATGGAAGACTTCAGGAGAGTCCTGAAAATTGTAATGGCTACTGAGTCCAATGGGACATACAGCCGACTTGGGGTAGAGAGGTTGCTGGGAAGTGTTATGCACTTGTAAAAAATCAGATTATACATTTTACTGCAGAAATTGCTTTGGGAAGCTCAGTTGCTTTTTCTTTAAATTGTTTAGAGTTCAGTAATAATTAAAAAATATACATTTGAAAAGACTTTTGTGTATGCTGCTAAAATTAGAGGGACTCATGAGATATAATCAAATTCCAGCCCCAAAATTTTGGTTAATGTGATAATAAGGACCCAATTATTTCATAACAGAGGGAATACAGATTTCTAAGGTAGTTACCCAGTGCTTTTATAAAATCATTCTTTTATGATATACTTTAAAAGAAAGTAGTATAATGTGACAGTGAAGTTTAATTTTTGAAAAGAAGATAGAGAAATGATTGGAATACTTGTGATATTTTTCTTAAAGATTTTAGAAGACATTGCTTGGTATGTTCTATAATTTAAAGGATATTCTAAAATCATGTTTCTTGTTTGCCATTGTGTATTAGACCCATGGTTAAAATATTTGGGATGCTGGGGTGCCTGGGTGCCTCAGTCAGTTGAGTATCTGCCTTTGGCTCAGGTCATGATCCCGGGGTCCCGGGGAGCCTGCTTCTCTCTCTCCCTGTGCCTCTCCCCCTGCTTGTGCTCTCTCTCTCTCTCTCTCTGTGGTCCAATGGATAGGTAAATAAATCTTTTAAAAAAAATATTTGGGATGCTATATTTATTATTGCAAATTAAAGTTTTGAGACCTTGATGATAGAATCAGTTTTATGTAATATCAGACTATTTCCCTAAGAGAACCATACTGACCTGCTCAATGCATGTGGTGGGAATATAGATACATATGGATATAGATATATAAATTTCATATATGTAAACTTAGTACAACTTAGTACAACTCCTGAGGAGGGAATAACAAAGAATTGATGGGAATGTTGACCTGAAAAGATTCCTTTCTTAGATTGGAGGGTAATTTGGAACTCTTGACAAAAATTAGAGATAACAGTTATTAGTTTTAAAACTGGGGACTAGTGTTTAAGTCTGTTTGTTTGTTTTTTAGAAGCCTACCATTTTACAAAGTATTTGTGAGTACTGATTATGTGCATATACTGTAAGCATGAAAGTGGTGCTCTCTTACTCTGGAATTTCCAATGCTTACTGACAATAAAAGAGCATGTGCAATTTGGCATCTTAAAAGTTAATCCAAAGATACTTTTGTTGAAGCCACTTAGCTGATACTAGAAGATAGTTAGGAGACCAAATAGTAGCAGAAAAGTGTACAATTTATATGTAATTAAGTTAATACAGGCATAGTATATTCTGAGGCAATTCTTATACTCTAAGAACCTTAACTATAAAGGAGCTCATTTACTTTTTAAATGAATGTGAGTTCATCAAGTTCAGGGTCTTTTTGTTGTTGTTTATAAAAACCATTTGGACTGTGTGGCACCTCAACAGTGAGTAACTGATTAAACCAGCATGACGTAATGATACTAATAACATTTAATGAACACTTACTATGTGAGAAGCACCATGTTAAGTACTTTATATATTTAGCTATTTAATTTAGTGCTCACAACAGCAGTATGGGATAGGTATTCTTACTGTGCCCATTTTAAAAATGGTAAGTGAGTTTAGCTTGGTAAACAACTAAAAAGTGATAGAACCAGAAAGGAAATGAATTAAAATAGAGAAGAGTTAACCCACCCTTTATCAGGCTCATATTCTATAAGAGGTAGAGAATTTATAGTAATATTTTAAAACTCAAAGCATTTTTAATTGTTTATGATAACTAACCATAAAATATGGATGATTTAACTTAATGTTCTGAAAAATATTTACTCAAAAACATGTATTGAGTGTCTACTGTGTGCCACAGTTTTCTGATTGTTTCAGACTCTTAGTATATAAAAACAAAGATCCCTACTCTTGTGGTACTATGTTCTAGTGGATGGAATTCAGAAAATAAACAGTAGAGTAAATTTAATATGAAAAAGCCTTTTTAAATATTTTTAAATAGTTGATAGATCTAAGGTAAAACAACTTTTCTGTTGCAACACTGATAATCTAATTGTTCCCATCATTTTGTAGTGCCTACATCAAATCATGAAAAGGATGAAATATTGATT